TGTCGGCCGCCGTTGCAAAGGCGATCGGCTCCTCCACGGCGGAGTCACATCCCTGGCTCGCTGCCTCGGGAGTGGCTCTCTCCCCCTGCCCGCGGGCTCCTCCCTGGCATCCCTCCGGGTCTCAAGCAAACCTGCCAGCCTACTCACCTCCGACTCCAACGCTTGAATCCTGGCCAATGCCGCCGGATCAGTCGTCGTCGCAGTGCTCTCAGCCGGAACAGACCCAGCAGGACTCTCTGATCGAGTAGATGGCCTTGGGATAGAGCTCGCAGCTCGGGAAGCCGATGGCTTAGGAGTAGCAGCACGCACAACCGGCTCGGGATCATCAGGAACCACAACACGCACAGCTGGCCTGGCCTTAGCCTTCACTGCCTTCACCTTCGGTTGAGGCTCAAGATACTCAGCACGATCTGCTCTCACCTTCGGCTTCGGCTCTGCGCGCTCGCGGGTCCATTTTCCATAAAACTTCGCCGCGTCCGTGGGCCGTCCTCGCGCCCTTGTGATCCATTGGCGGGCCTCCTCCAAGATGTTCTCGACTTGATGAACCGTCCAACTGTCTGACCATGTGCAAATATCACAACGGCCATAACAAGATCTCATCTGAGGCCACGAAATTCTCTCGCCAGTGTGCACAATCTGAAGCCTCGTGCCCTCCGGCACTACCGCATCTGTAAGTTCCGCGCCTGCCACTGATCTATGTCGGGACTGATTGCATACAAAGATTACGTAACAACGCTTCGGCCGCACCGATCCATCCTGCTCCAGCCGCTGCTTGAGCTCGCGCATGTTAGCAAGGAAGTTCACATCTCGTAGCGGTGCCGCAAGCGTATCGGGATGCCTCCCCACATGTCCCCGAGTCTGTGGCCGATCCTCTGGGTCATTCAACCGCAGAGTGTCCATCACGAAGATAGCTGTATCGTCTGCAATGCGATGATCTGGAAAACATGCCTTCGCCAACAATACAGCCCTCTGATGGCAGGGCTCTCTCAAGTACTCCGCAGCCTGCGCAATAAAGTTACGACCAGCCGATGCCGCGTAAACCTCCATGGAGGGCAGAGCCTCGAGATCCCCTTCACTTCTCCGCACCACTCGCTCACTCTCAGTGGTTGCTGTGTAACTGGTGCTCAGTACTGCCTGGGATGTCCTGAGCTTCCGAATGGCCTTAGGCAACTCCGTCTTCTGTCTCAATCCCTTGGTCAAGTTGATGCACAGAAGATTACTCCCCCTGGCTCGGGCTAATGGAACCATCCATTCTTGGCCATCCTTGCGAATGTAACACCGAAAATTCCCCATGTCCTTCACCAACCCCAACTTACTCTGTGCGAACTGCGACATGAGAAGCGGAGCCGTTGTATCATCAGGTAGGACATGCACATCCATCAAACCCGAAGTGAAATCCTGATCTCCTTTGCTGTTCGGGTCTTGGGTCAAACCTTCCTTGCCACCACGGTCAAGGAGTGTACTCCCGAAAGTCTCGATGCTGAAGGGGATTCGCCGGGTACCAACCGTTGAGGCGCTGTGGGCAAGTCCATTGAATGTTTTGGTTTCGGAGGAAATCCACGGGCACTCGAATCCCAACTCCCTCAACTTGGACTCCGTTCTGTTCATCCACTGACCACCGGCAACGCTGCTGTTTGCCCCTTCATCCAAAGTAGCCCAAACATCTTCGTCTTCCATAATGTCAACCACTGGGAGAATCAATCCAACCTCATCGTTAGACAGGGGTCCGGGTTCCTCAAGAGTTGCCATGAATCCCGAACGTCGTGGTGCGTATCCTGTCCTCTGACGGTTTGCTGAAGGAGCTGCAGAGGATCCAGACCAATCCGTCACACCTACCGGTCCACGAGGTGGATCAGGTTCTTCGGCCACTTGTGATGCTTCAATGCAATCCTGGAGTATGCCATGCAATACTTCTGCTGAAATGGTGGGTTTGGCTTCTCCGGCTACATCTTGTGCTACCATGTGGTCCTCTACTTGGGTTCTGAAATCGTCCAAAATAACCACTGCTTGCTCGGTAGTCAACGCCGTACCCTGACTCACGGATTGCTGAATGCTCGATACCAAGTCGAACGACGCTGCTGACATGGTCTCAACCTCTCTTCCTACCGCCTGTCGTCTCTTTGCTTCCTCTCTCGGCATCTCATCAATGAAATTCCCGCAATCCTTGCAGAATACTCTCATCGTTGCCTTATTGGAACCTAGCCGGTTTGTGTTCTTGTGCTCACAAAGGTTGATGTCTTTCTTCTCGGGCATCTCCTTCTTCGTCTTCTCAATCTTACCGCAATCTTTGCAAGTCTTGACCTGCACATAAGCGTTGGTTCCCAAGAAACTGAAATCTGTGCATTTCCGACAGCTCACGGGTAATGGTGGATTTGGCGGCTTCTTCTTGGCTGACTTGTGCGCTGATCTTGCTGGTATCATCTGATCTGATGCTGAAGCTTCTGCGCCGGGGGCTCCCATTTGGTCGAGCGGGACTTCTCGCCGGGAGACTTCCATCGTCTTTTGATCGATGGTGTAATAGTTGTGTACCCAATCCAGATACTGAGACAGATACAAGGACGGAGCTCGTTCGTTGAATCCCCATGACGCATATCCCGGAAATCGCCATGTGACCTCTTCATAAGTTAACCCTCGATGCTGTCCAAATAGGAACTTCTTGTCACCACCTGGAGGAACCTCATCCCTCATTGTTCCTCCCTTGGTCAACCTGCTTGGGCTGTGCCTGTACGCCATCATCGCATGAGGACTTGCCGAATCATCCGAAATCAGCAAACAATCATCCTCTGAACTCGAATCCGATAGCGTAGCCAAGAATGCTTGCTTAGCTGGGGTCTGGTTGGGTGCCTGACCTCCACGTCCTTTCGGGCACTGTGGATCCCCACTCCAATGTCCAACTTGACCACATTTCATACACCTCGATTTGCTCTTGATCTCCTGAAGGCGCTTCTTCCTATCCTCAATGCTCAAGTTCGACTTGACGACTGGGAATCCTTTACCTTTCCCTTGGGATTTCCCTTTTCCTGCCTTGCCCATGACGACATTTGCAGCCAATTGTAGCTGAATAGCCTCTGCCGCTGCTTCTGGGTAAGCATCTGGGTCACACGATTCAATGACGTTCAGCGCGGTTGCAATGTCTTCATCAGATACATACTCTTCTCTCTCTTGATTGTCTGGGGTATACGCTGGGTATGCTTGGGGGTTTTCACCATGCTCTCCATACCACCATTCATTCGGATCGGTTTCTCCCCAATGCTCTGCTAGGTATCCCCAATGCTCGTACTCTGATCCACTTGGTTCTCCATAATACTCCGCATGTTGACCCATCTCTTCGGCTGCATACGCTCTCCACGGTGACTGCTGATTGTAAGATGGCTTCCCTGAAGATCCTTTGCCGAATCCCTTTGGGCCAAACTTACCTTTGTCCCTGCCGAAGTCCTTGGAACCGAACTTGCCTGGCTCCTTGCCCTTTCCTTTGCCAAATGGGTCCAATAAGCGGTTGTCCCTCAAGTGGATGTTTCCATGATGCTCAATCATGATTCTAGCAAAACTCTCGAAGCTGTTGTCACCTCCTGCGCAAGCCTTAATCATTAGCTGCTGATCCTTGGTGAGTCCACTTAGCTCCAGCATGAGTTCTGCTCTAAGTCCATCACTCAAGCTTATTCTGGGATCAAGCTGTTGCATCAACTCCCACCACCTTCTTCGGCGTGAGATGTAGCTGACGATGCTCTCGCCACCTTGTCTTGACAGTGGGCCGTACTGGGCCTGGCCACTGCGAAAGAGTGCCTGTGCTTCAAGGGTTCCCAAAGGAAACACCATGCGCTTGATCTCTTGAATTAGCTTTCTCAAACCTCCCGGAGATGACAATGTCTGAACACCCAAGTCCTTGGCCCTCTGAAATGCATCTCCTCGCAGTCCCTCCATGACACGCAAGGTAGCATCCAACCACTGATCTTTCTCACTCTCTCCATCGGAATCTTCGGACCCTGACTCGTGTTCCTTCATCTTCGGGATCTCACTGGACGTGTCTGACACTGGGCCCCGCTCCAAGTCATCGTCACGCCCTTTCTTCGGGGACCGTTCTCTCTTCCCCGTCTCAGGCTTGCTTGAGGACGAGAATGATTCGTTCTTCTTCTGCTTCCGCTCTCTACGGTCCTTCTTGATTCTCTGTTCACATGCAACGATCCGCAACTCCGTTCGGAACTCCCATTCGTGATATGCTTCTGGAGTACCACTGTAAATGAATACACCATTCTTTGTCACTATGGGGGCCGTTGCATACGAACCCTGCTGGTACCTTAACCCTGCGACTGTCATGGTAAGGCACACTCCTCCAGCCACACCAACCAAAGGAATATCACACTGCTTGCTTCCACTGTGTTACACCTTCCCCAGCCAACACGGTCTGAGGCAATACAACGGAGAACTGGCTTCCCAAAGGCCCTGCTGGAGCTTCACCCTGCAATTGAGGGCTCAGCTCCGCTACCAATTTGGTAACAAAGCGCTTCGGACAGCTACTTTTTGCCAGCTAGCTCAAGGCGCCTTCGAGAGGAACGTTACGGTCAGCACATACAATTGATGTTTCCTACCGCACTAGCACTTTACAATGAAGGCTTCCTAGGCATGCGCTCAGGCTACACGTCGCAAAACGAGGAGGTATTCTCACAGAGTGTGTAGTGGAAGTAGTGATACTGGAGCTTGTTGCGGATCTGGTTGTGGAGCTCACGGAACTCGTTGCAGAGTGCGTGGTAGTACTAGTGACAGTGGAACTGGTTGCGGATCTGGTTGTGGAGCTCACGGAACTCGTTGCAGAGTGTGTAGTGGAAGTTGTGATAGTGGAACTTGTTGCTGATTTGGTTGTTGAGCTCAGGGAACTCGTTGCAGAGTGTGTAGTAGAAGCAGTGGCGCTGCTGGTGGCGGAACTCGTCGCGGTCTGTGTTTGTGATCCGGAGGTTGTCGTGCTGCTGCCGCCATTGCCGCTCCATGTGGTGGTGGTCGCGGTGATGGTGGTTTGTGCGAGGATTGTCATCGTAGCAGTGGAGGACGTGGTGCCTGTTGTGCTGGTTTGGGTAGTGGTTGTTCCGTGTGCGGTTTGGCTGCTGGACGTGGTTGTACTTCTGGCGAGAGTTACAGTTGCTGAGGACGTTGTCTCACTGGTGATGCTTGTGCTCCGTGTGGTGGACATGGTTTCGCTCACGCTCGTGGTGCCTGTCGTGGAACTAGTGCCAGTGCTGCTAACTGTGCTACTGATGCTACTGCTGCTTGTGACACTGCTCGACACGGTCAAGGTGCTTGTGCTGGTGAACGATGCAGACGTTGTTGTCGTAGCTGTCGAGGTGGTTGGATCGGCACCCAGCTGGATGGCTGGCAAGTTGTCTGCCATCTCGTCGGCGGCATCTGCCAGACTTACGAAGGTTCCTTGCCCGAGCCTGCCGTTGGCATTTAGACCCCAGCATTTCAGAGTGTCATCGTCGAGAATCGCACATGTGAAACCGTGGTTTCCAATCCGCAGCTTCTTCGCTGTCCGGCCTGTGCCCACATCTATGGTAGGCAGATTGTCCCCCATCGTCCCCGATGCATCTCCACGTTTGATCGTATCTCCATAGCCCAAGCCACCAGCTTGGTTATCACCCCAGCATTTAAGGGCATCATTGTCCAAGATGACACAAGCATGTCGTGCTCCAACGGCAAGATGCTTCGCAGTGCGACCAATACCCAGATTCACTGGAGGCAAGAAATCACCCATTTGGTTTGCTGCAGTTCCTACGTCAGCTGTTGCTTCTGTGCCGGGAACGGCGTGTATTGCACGGCCCCATCATTTTACAGAGAAGTCGTCCAACCTGGCACAGGCGACGTGGTCACCACAGCCGATTTCGAGCGCGGTCCTTCCACTACCCAGGTCTACAGTCGGAAGGGCGTCCCCCATGTCGCTGGCACTACCTCCTCGGTGAGAGGTGTCTCCGTAGCCCAAGGCTCCTGGATTGCAAAGTAGCCCCTTGATAATAAGGGTACCCTTTTTCCCATTTTTGGGGTTTTAATAAGGGGACCATACCTAGGGGACCCTAAAATGAAAGGGGCAAAAGGCGCACTTCTCAGAAACCTCGGCTCCATAGCCATTCCCCCCCCAGCACTTCACGTTGCCGCTCGTCAGAATCACGCAGGTGAGCGCGCTGCCAGCTGCCACTTCTTGTGGCACTTGACTGGTTCCGAGATTCACGACCGGCAAGTTGTCTCCCATGCTTCCAGCTGCGCTACCTCTTCCAGCCAAATCACCAGACCCGGTAGGGTTTCCATGGTCCGCAGCGCCCCAGCACTTCAAGGTGTCGTCATCCAAAATCGCACAGGCGTGCCATTCGGAAGAAGCAACTCGCTTTGCAGTTCTGCCAGTTCCCAGGTCTACTGGCGGAAGGACATCCCCGGCGCCAGCCGTGCCGACGTCACTAGCGCTGGACTCTTGGCCACCAAGTCCATGACCGTTTTTGCCAAAGGCCTTCAGGGAGCCATCATCCAAGATGACATAGGTCGTGACGACCATCGCCTCCGCCAGTCGGGAGGCGCTGCGCCCCGTTCCTAGGTCGATAGCCGGCAAGGCATTGCCCATCTCATGTCGATGCACCTGAGTGGTTGTCAAAATCATGGTCCCTCTTTGGCTACCATATATAATAGGTGCCGTAGCACAATCATGACCCAAAAAAGGGACTACAATTTTGACAACCACCCACCTGGTCGCCGTAGCCCAATTGATAGAAGTCGCTGCCGCCCCAGCATTTTAACATCCCGTTGGACAAGATCGCACAAACGTGTTGGCCTAATGCTATGTCGGTTGCGGTGTAATCACCGGCTACCCCGACCAGAAACAAGAGCGTGAGAAGACACCAGCTGCATAATTTTCCCACAATGGCCCGAGCCATCGCCATTGTCCATGCGCACGCCTCGCAATCTAGGGCTAATTGAAGATCCTGATATGCATGACCACCGCGAGCAGTTGTAATGACTGAAGAGTACCACGTGTTGGTTCGATGCCTCTCTTTGCATTCATGCTTCAAGTAGGCTCATTTTCAGGCCCCGGCTTGAACCGAAGCCTGGGCCAGGCGAGGTCTGTCGGTACTGTGGCGTGGCAGGGGAAAGGGAGCCCATGCCGAATCCGATGGGCCTGGCGAGGGAGATGCGGTCGCCTGGGAGCAGGGATCGGTCTACACGGGTGTTTTGTTGGGTTTCAAGGCTTTTGCTTGCAGTTTTTGTGGGTTTTGAGTTGGCCTGGAGTTACAGATTGAGGGTGGGAGTTCCAACATTTGAGGTTTAGGGCTGTTTCGGGCTGTTTAGGCGTCGAGGCTTCATGCACTCTGACCGAAGTAATCTACAGTCAACCCACATATATATATATATATATAGATATGTATATATATATATATATATATATACGAAAAGTTCCATTATCTGCAAATTTCTGAAGCTGCGGTCACCCGGTCAAACCCTCAAACCTCGGCTCCGTGCTCCCCAACATGACGGCGCCTGTACACCCGGAGCTTGAAACCCAAACCCGAAACCTCCTATATTACTGTATATTACTATATAATACTATAATACTATATTAATATAGTATTATAGTATTATTACTATATAATACTATAATACTATATTAATATAGTATTATAGTATTATTACTATATAATACTATAATACTATATTACTATAATACTATAATACTCCAGCTGGCTAAATCCCTACCAGGCCCGAGACCCAACGTTTGGAATCCAAAACCCCAAAGTCAGAAACTGCGGCTCCCTGGGATCCCACACACCGTCACTGGGCTGCCGTGCCGACGACCGCCAACTCTGATAACCCGACCTGAGCTCGCAGATTTTCTCCCATGTGATTGAAGGCGTCTTGTAACATCTCTTCTTTGGGGCGATTCCTTCTTAAAGCGTAGGGCTTGTGGGGTCTGTTCTCAACTTGCTCAGAGCTTTGGGGTTGGAGGTCCCATAACATGACTTCTAAGCTTTTTTGTCTAACTTTCACGAAGGTTTGGAGTTCCATCGGATCTAGTTAGCATCATAGCATTTTCAGGAGTCTCGGTGGGGCTGGCAGATCCAGGACTCGAGTGGGTGGTTTTTAAGAGCTTTGGGGCTGAGGAGGATCGAGGGTGTTGGGTTTTTGAGGGCTGTCCTGCACACTTTGAGGGCTGGTTTGAGGGGGTCCTACCGCACAAATCTGCTGTCGGTCTTCCGAGTGCCGGACCATGCCGCGAGCTTTGCCAACGGCGGAGGCCAACAGGTTCTACAGCCAGTGCACTATTCCCAGCACGTGAAGAGTCAGAAATAAGAATCTTGAAACCACAACATTTCCGGAGAACATCTTGGCTTGCATCTGCCCGCAACTGTTTGTGATAAGAGCTGCCGCATGAGAACAAGATAAAAGCTGCGGCAGCACACAGTAACCGAAGCCCCCATCCAAGTCTTCTGGTGGTCAGGGAATCGGATGTTGCGTCTCGCAAGAATCCACTGGGCAACATCACCTAAACCCTCAAAAACCCGCACAGACGAGAAAAACCTCAGTTGCCCAAGATTAGCAGACCCCGAAGCCAGGGGTGTAGGGCCTGCAGGGTTCAGGGTTTCGGTTTACAATTTGTCTTAACCCCAATAGCCCCCCCAACTTCTTAAGGCAAGGAAATGATATTAAGGAGCCCGAAAAAGCGGGCCCGGATTCAGGATTGAAGAGCTTCCAGGATACGCACTGAGTCTGGGAGGTGTTTGCGGGATTGTGGGTTGCAACCATGGGAACCTCAGCGACCTATAGCTCAAAGGCGGCTGTCACTGGTATGGACAGGCTCGGTGCATACGTACGTGCAGGCCACGTGCCTCGGAACCTTGAACTAATACAAGCATGGATACATACAACCATGTGGAAGCATGAATGTGAGGGTTTCAGAGAGAGACAGAGAGACAGAGAGAGAGGAGACGGAGAAGAGACAGGGACAAGAGAGAGAGAGAGAGAGAGAGAGAGGGAGGAGAGAGAGAGAGAGAGGAGACGGAGAAGAGACAGGGACGAAAGAAAAAAAAGAGAGAGATAGAGAGATAGAGAGAGAGAGAGAGAGAGAGCGAGAGCGAGAGCTATTCCTGTGTGTGCTTGTTTGCTATGTTTTTGTAGAGACAGATCAGGGTTTTAACAACACAGTGCTGCAGATGGGCAAAGCCCCAGTTTGCTAGGGTGGTTTGCAATGAAGACGCACAACCCCCGGCCCGCTTGCTTTCCTGCTCAACGATCGCCTCGATGCGGCAGTCACGTGCACGACTGCCATCATCCAAATTGCGAAACGTGCTCAGCACCTTCTCCAGAGCCTGCGAGGCGGCCGTCGAGGATTATGCTTTGCATCTTGCTTTCACAATCGGGATCTGCGATTGGTCTTGGGGTTTGGGTATACTATCGCCCGAACCTTGCCGCCTGCGTCCTGACCCCAAATGCCTGCACCCAGACAATCTAAAAGCCACTCTAAAATTTGAGGCTTGAGCCTGTAAGCCCTAAAACGCTCCTAGAATCCCTAAGCCTCCAAAGCCCCCTAGTCCCCAAACTCTCAGGAATTTGTCCAACCCGTAGAGACACCGATGAAGCGCCCCAATCGAGGTAACGCCTCCTCATTCTGCTTGTAGGTGGCTTCGAGAAGCTCCGTGAGAAGCTGCTGGTGAAGCGTCCGGACGGTTGGAAAACCTGACTTGGGGATATCTGATTCGAAGTCGGTTTAGCGGGGTTTGGGGTTTGTAGGGTTGAGGCTTCGGGATTTGGGATTCTGGAATTTGGCTTCAGGGTTTTTGGGGTTTAGGGCATCGGGCTTTTGGGTTTAGGGTTGGGTTCCAGTGGGCCTTTGTCCTTGGTGTGCCAAGGTCATGATGGAGGGCTGATTGCCCTGAGTTTTTAGTCGTTGAAATGGCCAATAAGAAGAACGAATTTCTACTTTTTGGCAGATCTCTGCCCTCAGGGCTTCGGGCAGCGATTTCAGAAGCACGATGGCTCCGGGTCAGATTGGATGATGGAGGGTCACCATGCCATGCAACATGAGCGGTGCCTGTCACAGACCAAGGACGCGTTAATGAGGTACCCCTAGCCGGTTTGAAGGATGTTACCCAAAAGCGGCAAGCTTCAGCTCACAGGCAGATTTCACACCGATCGGATTCCGCAACCTGTCTGAGGGCTCACATCTTACTCAAACTTGTTTTTTAGCGGCTTAGGGCTGGCTGGCTCAGGTTAAAGGTTAAGAGCACAACAGGATAATAGGCATGTTTGACGCAAGCCTAACATGTCCACTGCATTCCTCGTCTTGCCTGAAGCCATCCTCACATCACCAGCCCAGACCCTAGAACTCCAATGCAGGCAATATAAAGGCCCAATGATGAGACTGGGTCTTGGGTATGTGATTAGTAGAATCATTTGGGGACGGTGCGGTGATAGCGAAATCATTCCTAGCCGTGTCTTTACAGCCGCACATGCTGTTCGAACTCGAACACCATCTCAAGGCTTTGGGATTCTTGTGTAGGTGGTCTTTTCAAGGGTTCAGGAGCCAACAAGACAGCCCAGCACAGAACCATAAAATGCCGACTGTATGGCGCAGGACATGCTGCTGGAGCATCAAAGGTGTCCGAACCTCTACCAGCATGTCCTACACAGGGCACCCAAAGTCCTGACGACCCACGCACGAAGAGTAGACTTTTTGACCCTTGACCTATAGAGGTGCAACCCTAAGCCCTGCCCCACTCCCCGACATCCCTTAAACCCCTAAACCCTAAACCCCTGAACCCCTAAACCCCTTGAACCCTGAGGCGTGCCCGGAAGCTCTCAAGAACATGCGCGGCGGCGATCTGCCCCGAATAACCAGGCCACAAGTGCTCCTGGTCGCAAGCCGGGGTCTTAGGCCACCTTCGGGGGATCTTTGGGCTTTTCGGTTTCTGTGATTCTTGGGGCTTGCGGGCTGTAAAGGGTTTGTGCAGCTTCGGATTTGGAGGTCGATGCCTCGGATCGAAGTCAGACCCTCAAAAAAGCGAAGCGCCGCAACCTGCACCAGTCGGATTCAAAGCATCATGCGACCCCTAAAGATCTCATTTCAGAAAAAGCTAAACCCAAAATTCCTTAGCCTTAAACCCTAAAGCCCTGATCCAAAAAACTCCCTAAACCCAAGCCATCTCGAATTGCTGGATCCTTGTGACAGCGATCCTGCTGTAAAACCTCTACAGGCCTTCACACCGACGCTCGGAACCTTCAAAGGGTGTCTAGGCCAAGGTCTAGCCGAAGATTCTCTCTACAAGTAGCTGGGGTGTGCGGTGTAACTTAACTACAGAAGGATGGAAGACGGGATGTGATGATAAGAACCGAGATTCTCAGTGCGGATTAAGGCAACCACGTTTCAATTTCCGGGCTTCTTGTTTGGCGCCCTAAGGGTGTTCGATCCCGTAAACCCTACACCCTAAACCCTTCAACTGTAAGCCCCGCCCCAGCGGAGTCCCGTGTGCCACCCCAGGTGGTGTAAGGGCTCATGGCGAAAATGCACGGGTGCAGCCTCTGAACCGAGAGCTTCAGAAAATGGGC